TAGTATATGTATATGTGTATAGTATATATATATATATATATATATAAATATATATATATATATATATATATATTATTATATATATACATTATATGTATATATATATATATGTATGTATGTATGTATGTATGGTATCTGCGTGATTCTAGCGAGGCAATTTACCAGTTCGTTCACAATTACACTTTTGAAGCTCACGAGTTTTTCGACTGCTATTAGAAGCTGAACTCATCTTAAGACAACCAAGCAGAATCCCGAGATATTTTGACGGGAATACAATACGTTATTGAAGTCTGATATATTATAAATCCAATGGCATTCTTCGCATGTCATGCCTGTTCCAGACAAAATTTCGTTGGTTTCGGTCAAATTGTGGAAGCTTAACGATCGCGATGCGGATCATTAAAATCCATTTATCTATAATCGATTTGAAATCTAAATTATAGATGAAAGCAAGTGGCGAAAGCACAGGGTGGCGTGTAATCGCATTACGGGGCTTCACTTCATAGAAACAGGCCCCTGGTTCAAGGCGACGGGGGCTACGATTAAAGAATATCGGGGAACAATCAAGAAGATCGGTTCAGCAGACTTTTGTGGTAAGGTATGATAAGGTGGGTGACAACAGACAGTACTAAACATGTCTCTCTAAACTTTCCAGTCATATCTTCTTGATTTGTAGTTACCTACACACACAACAGTTATACCGATAACTCCCTCCAATCAACAGGTGATGAGAGTGGAGGATCCATTCTACTGTGATGAAGCGATGCTATATACCCTGATAGAGAAGGGTGGCTTGAGCCTCCCCACGAGCCACTTCAGGCCTAAACATGGTCTCCACGTCCACAAGTACGCGAACCCTTGGTACGTGTCCAAGAACGAGGTCAATCAGAAAGAGGTGCAGCAGTTTTTGGACGTCGCCGCTAAGCATGAACAACTTATGACTAATTTGCAGGTGTGTCAGAACCTGCGTATAGATCGCGTGTCATGGTATAGACAAACGGGTGATCATGTGGGATGCATACACTTGCCCGACATATCCGTCTGTGTTAGGCCCATGTATGATGGCGAAGACTGTGGGTGGAGAGGGCCATCATTGCAGTGCTATCTGCAATCTACTTTTTATACCAGTTTAGTTACGTTGATAAGTAATTCACCCCCCTGTTCCAATCACCGAACTATCTCGTGCATGCGTTTCTTTGAGAGGTGATTGAAATGATGTCTTTTAAGAGAGTATTGTAATATAGTTAAAATGTGTATCTCCTATGTTGTTTGCCAAATATGTACTTGTTGCTTATGAAATTCTCAGGTAAGAGGGATGGTTACTACATTATGCAATGCCATGTGCGCTTTTCCATCCTCGACATCAGTAACCGGACGCCAGCCTCGGTAATTTTTAAATCGAAAAAGTACTAACATATTAATCAACTCAACACAAACAGATATTGGGTTCTGGCTCGTATATGAGCACATTTATCTCCAGGATAATCGAACGAGAGGGGTCCAACCGACCGGATTTCTTGACAAAAAAAGCTAAGCACGAAGAGGAGGCGGCTGCAGAATACCAGCAGACACGAACGAACAAGTGATAACACTATGTATTCCAAGGTCTGGCGCGTATCTTTGTACGCACAAAGCACGTGTCAAGCGCGCCTGCAATGATATGATGGGGCCCCGATGGTAAACTCATTAGTGGGAATGTGAGTCCTGCAATGCACTTGTTGGCCGAACGAATAACGATCGTCTCACCACTCGCATGGCGTGCTCATTGCTATAACTGATCCTGATTCAAACGTCAACAGACTGAAGGAGGTGCGAGTTGTACACGAAGAGTTAAGATGAGAGCGGGAAATATTGTAACTGGGCAAGCGGATGGCTTGTAACACCGTCTCAGATCAGGTACACAGAAAAGTCAATGCGGCCTGAAATTGACATCAAAAAGGCACTGAGAAATGAGTCACCACTATCCTCTGCCACATGCCCAACCCACGAGAATATCTTTATAAACGCATACAGGGTCGAATTCAACTCTAAATGTTCGGTACATGGTACAATTGTTCAGGTCACATGCAATATCAGCCGATGCACTTGCACCCCGCGAGCTTTGCTTGGCCCAAAAGCCAAGTTTGTAACCCAGCACATAGTATATACATTACAGGGCGCCGGTTGAAATAAGAACATTTCAACCAGAAGTCGCACTTTGAGTTCAAAGTTGATCATTCTGATCTAGAAATAATATCACAAGCTCGTGGTAGGAAAAAAGCAATAAGTCAATAAAACTTTAAGTCTACATAGCGGTGGTTAGAAACCTTCACGAAAAATTATGCGGGTCTTCAATTAAGGCCACGGACCTGACTTTATTGAACTATGCAGGTCGCAAGTGATTTTACCGGTGTAAGACCATCCTATCGGACACGCGATGTCCCACAACTAACATACGTCCGTTGCTGTCATAGATGCGCATTCCAGCTAAACCCAAACAATTAGGCTGGTAAACAGCCAGCGCTTCTCATCAGCACATACAAGAGCTACCTTCCTAACTGTCTACTATATATTACTCATGCCTCGTATCCCTTAGACCGTAGAAAAGCATCGGCAGTAGGAGCGCGACCCAGAAATTCGACCAGTGAATCCATGGCGTCTCTGGTACCTCCAGGCTGCAAGATGCTTCGACGGTAGTCCATCCCCGTCTTGGCATTCAAGATACCTTCTTTCTCGAACCGCTCCGAGAACATGTCGGCACTATACACTTCAGACCACATGTACCCATAGTACTGTATACGATGATGTTTAGTAGAAGGAAGTAGAAGTACAAAATCGGGTATGAGAGCAGTCAAGTGGAACTATAGCACTCGCTTTGTAATCTCAAAACACCTGAAATTTTGAGAGAAAATATGAAGCAGCATACTCATTGCGTTAATGCTCAAAGACTAATATTGTTGGTGGCCAACCTAAAGACTCAATAGGGGAGTCCCTCGGAAAGTCATGAGCAGGAATAGGGTTTTCTCGTGCACCAGAACTTCGTCAAATAAATACGTGCGGCGAATATAAGTAGAGTTGATATATAGTTACAGAAGCCATAAGAGAGCTAGCTGCTAAATACGTCACCTGTGCATCGTAGCCTCCGGCGAGATGTCCAAAGCTTGCAGCCATGTTGGTTCCTGAGGGAAAGCCAATACGGTGTTATTTACCTATGATAAATCGGTCTGAGTAGTTATTCGTATACAAATGAGTGCGTCTGCTGGGACAGTGTCAACAAGCTGTCATCAATACACTATATTTGGAAATGCATCTCTCGCAAAGCGAGGCATGTTGTTAGTAAAGTCCAAAGCGTATCACTACGATGTTTCAGTTCTCTGAATCGAGCCATACCTGGAGGTTGAGTGACACCCCAGATTCGCTTCGACAACTCATGGAAGGTCTTGGCAGTGTCGATCGAGGCCGTCCGATGGATAGTTTGGTCGAATGTAGCCAACAGAATCTGTCTTTTGTTCAGAAGCCCTGCATTGGCCTGTGAAAATGGTAGAAAGAATGATGATTGGCGATATCGCCTACACACTTGGGCACTAGTGAAATACACTTCTTTAACTTGTCTGAGAAAATAATTTAATGAATTAATTTATTAGAAATTTTCTTCGGCGAATGTGTAATTTCGTTAAAACAAGTTGCAGTGCCGCATCTAGTCTTTCTTGATGCATACCTTCTTGGATGCAACCAGTGAATCGATCATCTCGTCCGGGATCGGCTGCTTGGTCTCGTAGTGCTCACTCATCATGCGCAAACTCTCTTTCTCCCAGCACCAATTCTCCAGCATTTGCGACGGCGCCTCCACAAAGTCACGCTCCACACTTGTGCCCTGAGAGGTGCGAGGTCAATGAATTGTTTAGTAGTACTCCTGAAACTTTTTATGTGGACGCTGCATGGACCCCCCGTGCTCATATACATAGCAGTACATGCACTTTGAACGAACTAAAAGATGGCTTGTAGGAAAGACTTAATGTAAGAGATGGTGTATTTGATTGAGTATACTAATATTGCGACTACGAGTGCGCCCGTACTTACCGCAAACATCTGATAGTCCGCACGTGCGCAGATATTGTGCATGACATGACCAAATTCATGGAAGTAAGTCTCGACTTCACTGTGCAGCAGCAGTGAGGGTCTGGTGGCACTTGGCTTGGTGAAGTTTGATACGCAGGCGGCGACGGGAACCTGTCGGTCAATTCACGTACGTTTTGGAGTGTGAAGAAAATGTAAGTCAACCGCTCGCAATTGATCAAGCTTAACACAACCACACCAAACACCCCTTCATCCCAAACCACTGATGATGCTAGAGGCGCTCACTGCATGTATCGTTATAAGTTCTCATGGCCTGTGCCTTGACAAAGCAGACTCGTCATCGACGTCTCAAGTGGCACTCGATTTAGAAGTCAAGACGTACCTGTCTCTCACCGTCGGTACCGATACACCCAGGCTGTAATCCAAAGCAGGCAGCATGGCCATACTTGCCCTCTCTCGGGTGCAGATCTAGGTAGAAGTAGCCCATGAGTTCTGAAGATCCTGGAGACACGTACCCCCGGACACGCGCGTGTGAGTATTTCCGCTAGAATACAGTAGTGAGCTAGAATTCTGAACCAGCACCGACTGATAGCTGATTTCCAATATAGCACAAATGCGAACAGTAGTGACAAGACAGGTTTTAGTAAACGAATACCACAGCGTGGTAGTAACATACCGGGTGTATTATCATCCACACGGAACAATTGAACATCCTTATGCCATGAGTGTGCGTCCTTCACCTCCGTGAACTTGAGACCTAGTAAGGTTTGGTAGATCTCAAGCAACCCTGTATGTGTCCAAAGAAAATAAAAACAGGGAAACTCGATGATTCTCGCAGCAGTAACAGGTTGTGCCGAAAGAATGTATGCTTGACTTGGGTCGGTAACGAAATGAAGTATATTTTAAGGTTAATTCCGAGAGTATCTGTGCCACAATTGCTGACTGAGAATGCTAGGATTCCTAAAAACAGCCATTCCAATATATCAAATCCCCGCAACTTCTCCTGCCCCCTCCTCCTGAGTCTGACTAAACATACTTATCTACTTTTCTTACAGGTGCTATATACAGACCTTACACAACAATTACGTTAGAGCAGACACCATAAACTCAGCAATCAAGAGTCAGCAATTAATTCTTTTAATGTGTGTGAAAGATACCTTTTGTGACTTTATGAAGAGGAAAATACTCTTTGAGGGCCTGATGATCCACTTGAAATTGCTTCTCTTGTACCAGATTTTGATAGTAGCTCGTATCCCAGCTGCAATAACGCAAAAAGAAGAAATCATGTCAATCCGTATAGTGTGCAGTACGCAATGGATGTAGTCTATGGTACGAAGCTTGATCCAATGCCCATGAATATGCAATACGGCATCATCTGAACCGTCATCAAACCGTAGAAAATAAGTGTCATCAACCGAAGCGATCAATTAATCGCAGAATGGAACGAGCAAAATATATATATATATATATATATATATATATACATATATATATATATATATGTATAGATATATATATATATATATATATATTATAATATATATATATATA